TAAAATATTTTATACGTAAATTCAAAATTTCTCTCGACATTCACTATTCAAACAGGGTCTAAATGTGATTTTCTTCCGAGGTTGACTCTCGCAAGTGATTTGAGTTCTTTCTTTACATTAGGAAATCAAACTTTCATTGGTTGGGCTGTGGTGGTTGTGCGGTGCTTCCTCCGGTATTATTTGGATTTTCAATCATCGGCTTGGTGAAGGGCTTGCTGTGTATTGATAATTGATGAAGATCTTGTTTCCGGATGCTCTAGCACCTGTTCGGGTTCCTGGGGTTGGTTTGGGTGGTGTTGTTTTGTATATTTTTTTCTGTTTGTTTGGTGCTCGTCTTCTTTGTCGGTTGGTCGTGATGGCCATTGTAATANAGCTTGGGTTCTCGCCTTGGTAGCACTTACTCCCGCTTCGAAGGGCATTGTGTTGGAGGTCTATCCTCCTTGTACCGTTTGCTATTGCGATATTCAATGAAACTCCTTTCATCTTCAAAAAAGAAAATGTTTGTGCAATTGGACTTGGCCAGCCACATAAAATGGCGTGTCATGCTAGATCAAGCAATAAGTCTAATGCTAGTTATCAAAACTTGAATAGTATTAGGGCTTGTTTGACCGAATTTTGAAAAATCAAAAGTTATTTCTAAAATTAATAAATTTATTTTGAATATGTTTGTATAACTTTCTGAAAGCGATCTGTCGAAGTTGACCCAATATAGTTATCTCACGAAACTCTTTTACAAAAAGTAATAGTAAATATAGAAGTCTTGCTAAAGAAATCCTTCGTTTGCCAGAATTTACTAATTTAAATGTACGATTTTATCACATCTTAAGAAAAGAATTGAATTAAATAAAAAGATTAATTCATACGGGTAATGATCAAAGTATGTATCTAAAATTTAAAATAACATCGAGCCTTCTAGTGACTATCACTTTTAATTATTTAATACTTCGATTATTCTTGGTAGTTAATGAATTATACGAGAATAAAATAAAATTTTCTTATCGAAGAAGGCAGAATGTGAACTTAGTATTTGCTTATAAGTAAAAATTATTTTTCTAATTATGACTTATGAGTTGGCCAGCCTCCCACTTTACACTTTGTTGTTAATCATATGCCGCAATACGTGGTGCCGTGGTGGGTAGCGTATGTTGAAGGGCTAAAGCATTCTTTCATGGGTCCTACATGTTTGGTTGAATGGCTAGTCTGAGCCTTCTATTTTAGGGATAATTGAAGTAACGGTACCAAATATTTTTCATTTTTCGCAGACTTTATCTCAACGTTTACTTAGTGTTAATTACAGTCTCAAACCTTTTATATTATTGCAGCACTAGGACAAATTGATGGATTCATTCAGTGATCGTTAGGTGACTAAGAAAATATATTTTGACAAAATTTAAAAAGATAAAATGATAAATTTATTATTTTTCCACGTAAAATAATTAAAAAACAAAACCCAACGCACCCCACCCAACCCAAGACCGCCGACGCCGCAGTCGCTTTCCACAACCACCACTAGTCGTTGCCGTCGTTAGTTTTCTTTTTCTTTTTTCCTTTTTTTTAATTGAAATTAAATGTTTATCTTTATCTTTTTGTTTATTTTTAGTTGAAATCAAAATCAAGTGTATATCTATTATATCTTCAAAAAGTGAAATACGGGATAAGGGTTGAAGCCTTGAAGGGAGAGAATTTAGCGGTGGCAATCATCCGTACTATCAAAAGTGACAGTGTTACTCATTAATTTTAAAATTAATAAAACGGTAAATGAAGAACGAGCTAAAGAAAGATTGCTTATTTTTCTCAGGACATTATTTGAATAGCTAAATTAAGATATTTAGTGAAATAGCTTGGATGAGATCAAATGGGCAGCTACTTCTAGAATTTGTATTCTTACCTTTTTTTTCGTTGAATTCTTATAATCTTTAACTTTTCATTAAATATCATGACTAGACAAAACTTTTGAATCGTACCGTTAGAATCGAGCAAATTTTCTTAAGTTAAATATTCGAACGAGTATCTGAATTAAGAACCTACGTGTATGGTTCGATTCTCGATTCTAAATCAATAATTGAATCTCCCTAATTTTTTTGTTTTTAAATAAGCCAAATTATTTTATTTTATTTTTTAAATAAATTTATTAACTAATTAATTTAACCCAAATTCAAAATATGATTTTCCTATTTCTAAATTTTAGCCCAAGATTTATCCAAATATCTTAATCTACTATAATGCCTTTACTGTTGTTCTGGAGAAATCAAATTGGAAGATCGGCTGCGTCTCTCTTCATTATTGCAAGCTCGCTATTTTCTTTTTCCTATAATTTTAACAATCAAATAAGTCTATAAAAAACTCAACAAAGAGAAGCGCAAAATATATCGTAAATTAAACTACTTTATTTTGTAAGAACTAAAATTAAACATATCATTAGTTGAATTAATTTGACGTTGTTATAAATATTGAAAAATAATTATTATTGTATGGAACCGGGGAATCGAATGAAACCGAACCCGAATGGTTCCATGACTAAATTTGGACACGACAATTCCGCTTATTAAATACCCAAAAATTTGGGTTTGAACGATATCCAACCCTATTAAATATGTGGTTTGTGCTAAAATATTATGTTTGTGTGCTTTATAATGAGGGAAAACTATTTATCCCGCATTTATATTTATTTATTTTTAAAAAGCAAATAAGCCCTTTTACACCATTTCAATGCATCTATAGGATAAAAATTATTATATGAGACGAGATGCGCAATTTAATGGAAGGTTGAGTAAGAATGAGACGAGAAAATGTTGAGCACTCAAGTATTACAATGAGTAAAAATTGAGGACTTCAAGTATATTAAAATGTTGTGTAATAAATAAGAATTACGATATAAAGTTAATTACCCAAATCTTTTAGATGATATGTGGTATTAAGTGGATTAATGGTAAGCCAGGCGTAAGATGGTGATAATTATTTTCTGGTGATGAATGCGTTTAGATCTTCATTTGGCACATTTAAGTTCTATATAAGTTTCACAGGGCTTATAGAATGGGTGTTCATGTCTCTGTGATACGGTCGGTGTGTAATTTGATACGTATCAGTGTTATTCTACCGAGTTTAGTGTAGTCGAATCATCATTCGATTTTGGCATGTTTTATAAGAGAACTAAGTTCATTTCATTTACCCATGTTGTCTGTATCAGTGTTATTCTACCGCGATTAGTGTAGTCGGATCATTATTTGATTTTGGCATGTTTTATAAGCGAACTAAGTTAATTTCATTTACTCATGTTGTCGTCCACGTGTCTGTTAAGGAGATAGAGGGAACTAAAATTATGCTGACATCAGGCTATGACTACAATATAGATCCTCTAACTAGATGAATTAGAAAAGGTTTATGTGAAGAATATATCTAGAGAGAAGGAGAGAGTTAAATTAGATAGTTTATTTCTTCAGTCTTTTTGACTTGAGTATCAGTATAGGAAAGATGGTTCCAATATATGATCTTCGGCTGCAATTTCTGTTAGATTGAATGAACTTAGAAGGTAGCTGGACCAGTCTATACATGTAGAGTTGCATTTATTAATGTGCGAGATCCTAGATATAATTGCTTCTTGAAGATTAATTAACTAGCCTCCGTATGGGAAGAATTTATGAATAGGTAGAAATGAGTGGTGGATAAGTGGATAGTACTTGTAGATCCATTGAAATGTGTGTTGAAAATGAAGTTTGTTTGTTTATAAATAATTTATATTTTGGCGGAGGCCTAATAAAATGGGTTTTTTTTTTACTCAGATATCCAAGTTTCGCCCGACTCATCTTGAGAGGTGGATTTTGCCATTATTATTGCTTACTTGGGGCTGTTCTTGATTGGTTTTGTTTCCAGTGTGTGAGATGGTTCATGGTTGTGTCTTATAAAAGAAAACCATTTGATTTCCATGGTTATTAAGGGTTAATATGTATTTATCATAAACATGGGTGTGTGGTTCATTGGTTACTAGTTATCCTTTTTCTTTCCTTCTATTTTGTTGGATACTTTAAATTCTTGCTTCTGTTTCTCCTATGACCTTTACATGTAACTCTTCACCAAGCTGTTAAGCCTTTTGTGGCTTTGTGCCGTTTCTTTGGTTTATTACTCTTACTAATTCTATAGTCCAGTGGCTTCATCCCTTTCCCCCATGCTATACTAATGCACTAGCGGTATGAATTGGTAAGGTAAATTTGACAGAACTAGATGGTAATAATAAAAAATAAAGAAGCTAAAATTTTGTTCATTATATTGTACTAGTACGGTCTTATACTCATAAAACAATCAAACGCTAGATGTACTAATCCATAGAACTTCGACATTGGGTAGTTGCCTGCTTCTGCTCGAAAAATCGATGCCATATTTACAATCAATTCGAGTGGTTCACCAAATAAGTCATTATGATAAATATCTTGTTCTTGATTCTAATTCTTTGCCATTTGTACATGAACAAGTTACTTTGATAAAAGCTCTCAAAGATTTTGATGCTTTTGAACGCTCATCCATACTATTTCGATGCTACCAACAACATCCTCGTTTTGTTTGATTATAATATCCTTTTCCTTGATGCATGTATGATTCATTTGGCAAGATTTCGACTTCTTCTAAAAAAGTTTATGTAGAAAGCTATCTTAAACCAGTTTATTGTAAAAGCTTTTAAAACTCTTTCAGAAAATTATCCATACATATTTAAAAGTAGCTTCTTAGTTTTAGATGCAACTTTTGACTTTTCAAAAGATCTTGTCAAGCGGGCTCATAGTATATTGTTAGAGCTTCTCATCATTGGTTAACAAAATTTAATAGGCACCAAACTGTAAGACTGAAAAAAGCGATGTACAATAATAAGCTAATCAATTCGTTTTGAACAAGGAAACCCCATATCCTGTACACCTAAGGCACCGCTCTGGACGATGCAACACAAGTAGAGTAAAACAAAGCAGTCGAAGAGATTTTTAAGCTCTAAAGATACTTATTGATGGTCAACAGTATCACTTCCATCCATCTCTGTTGTTTCTGAATGCGCAACATCCAACAGAGTACACGATGACAAGGAAGACGAGGAAAATGATATTGATGACAGCCACCTTTTTCCAGTCACTCCTGATGTTATCAAGTAGCCCGGCCTTGCAGGAGTTGCAGTTGTAACACAACGTATCTGGATCATTGCTCCAGGCACTGCAGTCGGGATTTGTTGAGGATGAGGTTGGTGTCCTAGTCCAGTTGGTCGGGCTAATATACTGGAAGTTGCAGTCATTTGATGGCTTACAGCAGCCAGACTGAGGAAGCAGTATAGATTAGCGTATGCAGTCCAATTAAACATATTTGTCAACATGGTTAGTAACATACAACTGATAAAATTGAGAGCTTGAAATAGCTGCAGAGCCACGTTTTTAAAACTGAATAACTAAAGCGATAATGGCAGTCAGCAGATAGGGAGATACCAAGTGTCTAGCTGAGAAGCTCATTCACTAGTCATAACGAGACATAGCCTAAGCTGAGAGTAGCAAGTTGATTTAATCACTCTTCCAGATGTAATTTAGATGCAACCTATATAATTCCACTTTTTAAGAAGTGTGAAAAGTTAAGTTTTAAAGCACAAACGAATGCAGATTAGGCAGCCTCGGTGACAGATTGAAGGTCAACATCAGGCTATTGCACTTTCTTGGCCTTCAAATCTGGTTCTCCAAGTAAAAAACAGACAGTGTTGCTAGATCGGGTGCTGAGGAAGAATTTAGAGCAATGGCCAAAGGAATTTGCAAGCTACTTTGGTTAGGAATCATTCTTGATGATGTTTGAGTTGGGGAAGGATCGATGAAATGTGAGATGTGACAATAAGTGAAAACGTGCAGATTAACAGACACTTCATCAAAGAGAAAAGAGATAGGGAACTAATTTTCACTCTATACGTTTCAAATGGAGGACAAATTGCTGATATTCTAACCAAAGGACTAGCAAACAACTCATTTCAAGCAATCTAGCAATGACTAATACTCAACCTCCAGCTTGACTGGTAGGGTTGGAAATTAACAATCCTATTGGGATTCGATGTATATTTTTGTGATTTTAATCCTTGATTATTGGGCATTTTAGCTAGGCAAGGTTTTGCCCCTTTCTTAGAGCATAGACAAATTCTAAAAATCTTGTACTCCAAGTATTCAAAGCACATGACCAAGTTCCACCATTATATGGGTTATTTGGGAAAGATATCACTCTCCATAAGACATCCCTGAAACAAAATTCAAGCCAACTAAGGCCCGTTTGGCAGGGATGCTATTGCTTTTGCTAGTGTAGAAGAACTTCCAGAAAAAGCCGTCCAATCAAACGAAGCACTTCAAAAAGGTTATATAAACATGTTCAAAAGCAACTTCTTTGTCGCAGAAGCAACTTTGACTTTTCAAAAGCCTCACCAAACGGGCCCTAATTCAGGTAACCGTTCTTTGCTTCTAAAACAAAAGCTTAATCCAGAAAAATGCCTCAGAACTGTAATTTTTGCCCTTTAGTACCTTTTGATGATAGAAACCAAATCCAAGATGCATTTCCACACTTGAGTTGCAATTTGATCACAATTCAAACTAAATTAACCAAAGAGTTCAAAAAAACTAGAGTACAGCACGCCAGACAATTAAGGGGAAGATATTTAGGCGAATATAAGATAAAATAGTTACAGCAAGGGAAATATTCTGAACTCCTTAAAGCTCTAATATTTACGTCCAAACGAATTATAATCATCAGACTCGAAGAAATAGTAGACTGTAAAAGGAACAACAATACGGAAGGTTCGTGCCGAAGAATGATCAAGTGAAAGACCAGGTGACCATCTGTTCTAAAAAGGTTTTTTAATGAGTTGTTAAAGCAATATAAGTCAACATCAACCAAAAATTATTCTCCCTTTTAATTACTTAAAAGTGACCTTTTTCAGACATCTCAATCTCCACTATGTTAAAGCAACTCTACTTTTTAAGAGCATCTCTAGGAAAAGAATCTTACTACACTCGGGTCGCAATTCCATCGAAAAACCCTTGAGTTTCCCAAAAAAGCCCGAATATAGACGACAAAAATTAGCCACACAATACAAGTTAATCCATCCAAAGAGAAAAAATCATCCAGACTGTTGCACAAAAATGCACACAACCATACACCAGTATATGCTCATCTTTGAAGACTACTCGGAAGACTAAATTTAAATATATGAATGTGTCCCCTCTATGATCAAATAGATTAAACTTTTAGATGAGACGAGGTAGAGATACCTGAAGGGCAGAGAGGCGTTCTCTGTAAAAGTCTTGAACTTCAGTGGATGACCCATTATCAAGCAACCTCTGGCAGATCTTACTATCCTGCAAACAACTCCTAATCTTATTCCAATTCTTATCACTTCTAACCCTTTTCTGCAGCCAATTTGAATAATCCCCAAGCCTGTACTCTTTATACCCTCTACCAGACAAGGCTTCACCAGCCCCTTTATTTGTAACCACAAAGGCAAATATTGTGAAGGATAATAACAAGAGAATCAGCAAGAACATGACCAAAAGATAGACCCATAAAAGCCATGATACTCTGCAGCAAGAACCCACTATACCAGCTAAAGAGACAACTAGAATAAAGACTCCTAAAATTATAACCGGCTTATCAAGAAACCTTTCACACTCTGTGCTGGCTTGTTTTGAGAGCCATATGCCTGCACCGATTATTGGTATTGATAAAAGAAGCGTGATGATGTTGAGAAAGCCTACTAAGTTGTTACTGAAGCGTACCATGGTTTAGATTGAAGATTTTTGAAGGAAAAGTAAGGACTTGATAATTTTGATTGGAAAGGATTTATAGGAAGGAATCCAAGAAGAAATTTTGGTGAGAATAAAGGGCTTCAAGAAAGTAGAGATAATGTGGGTCCGAGTTAAATTGATGGAGCTCTGCGTTGTCAACACGTGCGCATATTTGAATCAAAGATTCGTGTAATTTTTATGTAGAGAAATGCCAAATGTATCCGGGCCCCCCACGAAAAGGAGGGGGTTCACTAACAATAAAATAATCGTGGCCCCCCGAGACGTGTGCATGTAGCGTGTCTCTTAACTTTATATGAATTTGAGCTCACTAACCTCAACAATTTGAACACTCTAACCTTAATAATTAATTTTTAAAGTATGATCCTCCCATGATTTTTTATAATAATGTCGTCGACATAGCAATGTTCAATCAAAACTAGTCACGACTAATAAAAAGTGGACCCCTTTGACATGGACGTGTTAGAATAGCAGAAAGACATCTACGAACTTGGACTCTTCATCTTAATTTCTACTTTTCGATTGGGTCTCATTTTTTAGACAAATGGATTTTATAATAATGATTTTTGAAGAATAAGTGATTAAAAGTAGGAAATTTTTTTAAACTTATATGTAAAATTATTTTATTTTGATAATATATAATTAAAAATAAATTTGAGAACAATGAGATTTTAGAACGTTTCGCTCAAACATGTCTCATTTTATTCCTAAGGAGTTACTTTTGTCTTTATCCATTTTTCAATTATTCCCCATATTGATTAAGCCTTTGTTTGCTAGTCATTATTTTAAGCCCCCTTTTGATTTACATTATTATCACATTAAAATGAAAAATATGATCGTTATCCATTATATCAACATTTAAATTTAAATTTTCTATATTTTATGTGGACTCCAATAACGATTATATTTTTCATTCTCATTCTACAATAATTTGACTCAAACAGGACCTAAAACTCTTTATTTTACATACTCATTTTGATTATACATTTACATAATAAATATTTTGCACGTAAACTCAAAATTTCTACCTACTTTTTAACTATACATTCTCGAAAATGTCATTATTCAAAACATTGTTTTGAACAACTAATGACCATCAAATAGTGTCTAAATTAAATCATACAATAAAATTGATGCTATGTTTGGTACCAATTCTCATTTTCAACAGTAAATCAATTCTCATTTTCAACCACACTTTTTTCAATAAAATAGTATTTTCTATCACATCAATAATCTTATCTTCTTTTTCAACCATACATTTCCCATCATATCACTATTCAAAATCAATTCTTCCCCCAAAAAATACCTACCAAACACACACTGAATTAGGAGATCCTTTTTTTCTTTACAATACGACGTCGTTTATATAGGATTCAAAAATAACATTCAAGGGGCAATCGAGGTCACGCCACTGTGATTTGCCGCCATGGATCCACAGAGCCAAACAACTTCTCTACAGCGACTGCAAAATGTTGAAAAGGTAATTCCATCAAATATCTGTAAAAAGTAAACCCTAAATTTACCCCCTAATTACTTAATTTCAATGCAAAATCAATTTTTTATATCTCAGAGAATAGTTAGGGTATTGGAACTAGCCGGAGGAGTGATGGATGAAATGGCGAGCCCGAGTGGTCCAAGAAAGGAGCTTTTCAATAATCACTGTAGCGAGTTCATGAAATTAATCAAGGTCCTCAATTTTCTTCATTTCTATTGATGAATTTCTCTCTTTTTTTTTAATTAATTTTTAATTCGTATATATTTATTACTGTTTTGCTTGCACAAAGTTTTAGGGCTCTTATTCTGTTCAGCTGTGGGTTTGAATTGAACAGAGATGTATTAGAGAAAAGAGAAGCTTGGAAGTGAAAAGAATATTCTCATTTCAATCAATTGTCCATACAATATTGTCTTTAAATAGAATGAACTGTTGCTTAATTGGTGAGGCCTTGGGTTTGCTCTCCAATGGTCACCACTTCGAGTTCCCTCAAGGCCACTGAGGTGAGTACCTGGCCGTAAACTTCAGGACCTCATGGAATTAGTCGAGGTGATCGCAAGCTGCCCGGACATCCACGATTATCACAAAAAAAAAAAAAAATAGAATGAGCTAACTGAATCTAACTAACTGATATTAACGGCTGTAGATAATTACTTTCTAACTAAAATTGGCGCCTAGATGATCTCGAACTAGTCGAGCTTGGCTGAGCTGCTGGTGTAGCATACATTCTAATAAGATGTTATTGCTTTATTGGTCTCTGTGTTTTGTAACAGGACATTCAGGTGACACTGCGAGAGGAAATCAAAAGTGCTTGTGAGTATCATCCATTTGAGAAGTGTGAGTGTGAGTGTGTGACTATGTTCCAAGAATATCTAATGAGATTTGTTATAAGAAACTGGAATATGTTATTACTCAATTAGATGAGATGAAGCAAACAATCAAGGGATATCACAATGCAGCTTGAGGGTAAATGCTATACAATATCACTGGGATATTGCTCATCGTTGGGGCAATTGGAGAATCGAGTAACTTTGAATGTTTTGTCTAGAGTTTTCATGGAAGATTGATGATCTGAAAAAATTGTAAGAAAACTGTAATTCCTGATTGCAGATTACTGTTTTTGTTTAGCAAGATCGCTTTTCTTTCTTTCATTTTTTCCTGCTGCTTTAGCATAGATTCATCTAATACTAGTAATTTTAGAGCAGGGCATGGTTTAATTTTTCTCTATCTCCATTCCCCTTACTCTGATATTCCCACGGGTAGTAGGGTGTTTAGAATTTTCCAAGTAATGTTTACACTTGTAGTATTCCTAAAATTTAGAAGGAAAGGTATTTCTGAAATCTTTAACTAGTAAAAGCTCAATATTTGAAGCTGTAATAAATAGTTTGAGTAATGCCCCACGTCTATGGACTTGCTCAGAATGAAGCAACCCTTGCCATGGATGCCATGCCAAGTTTCCTCTTTACTTACGGGGGTTATTATATTTTACATATATTGTTGAAAGCATTTAAGTTTATGGATTAATCTACTTGTACAACTATTCTCTACACCTTGGGTTACACTCTCTCGTGTGTCAAAAAATTGGTCGTACGTTGAAAAAGGTGTTATTAAAATCAATGTACCAAAATTTGCTAACTCACCAAGATGTAAATTAATGTGTCATGTACATGTAGCATGATCCTAAATTTAACATCTAACCAGAGCATCTTATTATATTGAAAGGGTGCTTGGATCATCTTTCCATGCAGTGGCTTGTAATCTGAATTGGTCATTGTTATTGTATTGAATTTTGTGGATTTTACTTTAGTTTTTTGGGTTGTGGAACTCCAAAGGTAACCAGCCACAAGCTCATAACCTGGAATTTAAAATCTCAGATTTGCAGAAAAAGTACATGAAGGTAGTTGATATCTTGCTATTATGTCAACCAATATATGTCTGATCTCGAGTAGTTCAGTCGAAGTAGAATTTCTTCTTTTTTAGCTTTTTCAGTCTATTGCCCTTCTCCATTCTTCTTTCAGATATCTCCATATGTATGCTAGTGCCTACCCTTTAAATATTTCAGCCTCTTTGAAGCAGTAGGTAATTGTATTACAGTAAATCAAGCTAGTGCAGCATGCAATATATTCTTGTCAAACCACTGATGACTGGTGTTGAATGGGTAAATCAGATTTCATTGCTGAACATCACTGGGGGGCAGGAGATCAGTTCTATGTCAATCAGTATACAAACACAACAATCTTGGCTGGAATTGATGTTCATTGGTGATTAAATTATTTCCAAATGAATCGAAGTTTCTTCCACAAGGTGAGTTACGATTTTTGTTTTGCAGATATACATAAAATATAAAGCATATAGAAGAAACCTAAGATCTTTGAATTTTTTTTCTTAACCAACTAATTTATATTAATAAAGTGGCTAGAAACATGCAAAACTACAAAATTCTGTCCATTATTGTACTGATCCATCAGATATTATCCTCCAAGACATGTTGATTTGTCCGGTAGAAGAGGCTCCTCCAAATCAGTTCTACAGCTTTTGTTGTTTGAAGATTCACTAGACAGTAGTTTCTGATTGCTTTGCTTCTTTATTTGACTTGGGTCAACGTTCATCATCTATTCACTTTCTTTTGCTTTGCCCCATAGTACAACTGATAAGTGTATTTTCTACGCTTATTCGGGGCTTGAAACTATAGAATTTTCTTGCTCGTTTGGCAAAATATAACCTAAATTGTGTTATATTTCATGTTGTAGGTAAAACTCAATGTTTAATGAAGAATTGGAGAAAAGAAGTAAAATGTGGTGAAAAATGGCAAAATCCAAAATACGAGGACGTGAAAGCAAAAATTAATTTAATTGGGCAGAAAAGTGGGCTTGGACTCCTTTTGAGTTAATGGATTGAAGTTCTAATTGGACCACAATTGGGCCGCTGGAATATAATATAAATACACATATACACACAGAAAAATAGGGGCGACCGTTAGAGGAGAATTACATATTCAGGCAGCTGACCTACAGAATATCTAAAAGAGGAAATTACACCTAGCCCTCTTTCTAAAATTTACATTTCATTAATCAGATTTGAAGTTTAATTTTTCTAAAATCAGGTTTTAATTTTTTATTTAATGTTTATTATAAATCAATATATTAATAATATTATTATAAATTAATTCATATACACCACAAACCCTAACCATTTCATTCTCTCCCATCTCTCTCTCACCGTCTCTCTCTCTCCCCTCTCTCTCTCTCTCTCTCTCTCTCCCCACCACGACCACCACCGCGCCGCCTCTTGCTGCAATCGTGTCTGTAGTGGCCCAAGGCCATCCCTTCACTGTGAACGCCAACTAAGGTTCTACAAATTGCGGTTGCAGCGGCGCAAATCGCGGTGGTGATGGAATAGATCCTGACTGCAATAACGCAAATCGCGGTGATGGTGCTTGTTTTTTTTAAATTATTGGATGGGTGGTAGTAGTTTCCATGTTTTG